CAACGGGCACACAAAAACAGTGGTGTCAAGGAGTTAATCAAATCTGCCCTGGGGTGTGTAGTGTCTCCTGAAGCACTCAGCATACTTAGGTGGGTATTTAGAGTTCCCTTTTTAGAGATCATTAAATTAAAAGAGAACAAACACTGAACAGATTCTTTTTTCTTGCTGTGATGCCAGTATTACGAAACCAGAGAAACAGTATGTTGTTTATCAGCCTTGATGGTCTCAGGTGTGTAGACCAAGGCAAAATAGTCACCTGGCATTGTACAAGAGGCAAAAAGGAGAAACCCTCAGCCTCATAGAAACTTCCTTAGGATCCCTGCTTTCTCCTTAGCTGTTACAAAACTCTCAAAAGGGGTTAGCAAGATTGTTTGGTGACTATACCAGCTGCAGCTGGGGCTAAGGGAGGAGGTGTTCACAGAGCTAACCCAGTTACACAGTCGTGTCCCCGCTAAATGATGTGGTTCTTTCACAGTGATATAATAGTTACGTGCTCAAATTATGGATGGGTTTCCCAGCAGCACATGATACCTTATTCCATTATCCTTATTGTTTATGCCATTGTAACAATTATTTTAGTTTGCTTTCCAGTAATGTCTGATGTACCACCTAGACATTACATCCTCATAGAGTTGTAATTTACACCCAGAAGTGCACTTTACTTGCAGCTTGCACACCAGAAACAGAAAGGGACCCAGCAAATTCTTAAATCAATTCAAATAATTCCCTGGACAGCTCATGATATCACCGTGTTTGCTTTACTACCATGTACCTAATGCAGCAGAGTTAGCTAGACTTCTCCTTTTTGAGCAATGTGGCTTTGTCTCTTCTGCAAAATCTCCCTTTTTAATGTGTCATGCTCCTGATAACATCAGAAGGGTCTGGGGGGCTCAGCACGAGCTCAGGACCTGGTCTAAAGTTGTAGAGACGTTTATGTTATAAAAAAGAAAACAAACGCACAAGGCCTAACCATTTGTTTGTATGTGGCTCTTCCTCAGCAGATTAAAGTTGCCTGTTTTGAGTTCACCAGCAATAAAAAAAAATTGTGATTTATCCACCTTGTCCAAACTCTGCAGCAAGAAGGAAAAAGTGGCCCATTGCTGCTCTTTTGGGAGGGTGGTGGGTGGTGGGATCCAGGTTTTGATTGCCTGAGGTTCCACTTTTGCCTCCCTTGTCTTGCTTATCTCCTGTACTGTCCATGCTAAAGGATGTCCAAGTACTTCCTAAAATACAGTCCGGTGTCTTCGGCGCAAGGGGGAGTTTAAGCATTGTCGTGATGTCTGTGCATATTGCAGTGATCTTGCCGGAGGGAAGTGGTTGATTCAAAGCAGGACGAGACTGCATGTTGGTCTTGGGTGTTATAACTGAGAGAAATGTGTACATATGTACCAGGTATTACTATGCCTTTGGTCTGAATGCATTTTGTAATTAAAGCCAAATAATCCAATCAACGTTTCGCTTGACTAGTCCTGTGACTATAAAAGATGAAGAATTACTGGAGTGCCTGAGCTACTTGGAGAGTTAAGAGGCTGGTGGCTGAAGTCCTCTTGAGGTCACTAGCGTTATTCTGCTGTTGACTAATTTTTCTGAAACCTGCACAGAAAGCATGGGGATTTCTTCGTTCACAGGAACTTTGGCTCTTTAGGTACTATGAATAAAATATGAACTACTGCTAAAATGTGAAACGAAACCACATATTTTTCTATTTTAGTTTATCCTGGGCCCTGAATACACGCGCTGTGTCCTGTATTCAAGGGCAAGGCTTGCGGACCCAAGTTCTTCACTTCAGTCTTTCTGCCTGCAAACTGCAGCTGAACCCGCAGACAAGGAAGCTGCTTTATCTTCCTCTTCCTTTCTGCACGTCCGCAGCTCCCACACATCCCTCTGCCAACCACCCTGTGTTGTAGAAGGAAATCTCTCTTCTGGTGCATCCCCTGCTAAATCAGAAGCCGTTCCCACCATGCACCCCTCGCCCAGCTGCTGTGGCACCAGGTTGGGTCACAGAGGTGGGGACCCCTCAAGAGGCCTTGCTGTCCTCAGCTGTCCTTGCTTTGCAAATGACCTCCTCTTGCACCTGCCTTCCCTCCTGCCTCTTTGGGTGTCCGGAGCCTGCCGTGGGGAAGTGACCGGCCCTTCCTTCCACCTCCAGCCTGGGGAGTGGGGCAAGCCCCTCTGCGCCTGCTGGGGGGGCTCAGCACCATGCCAGGCTGTAAGCTAACAGAGGTCAGGCTCGGTCTGGGGAGGGAACTTCGATTTTAAGGGCAGGCTCAAGAAGCGTGATGATGAATTTGCAGCATCTATGATGGCTTATTTCCAGGATGGCAAGGGTTCGCTCCATCAAGGGTTTAGGGACTTGGACTGGTGCTTTTTGATCATCCAACAAGAGAGAAGAGACAGGAGGAGGTGGTGCCCTCCGTACCTGCTGTGCTCTCGGTCCCTGGGCAGCTGGCAGATGCCAGGGGGAAAAGTGGCCTGGAGTAAGTCCAGGGAGGGGCTGGGGGGACACTGCATGGTTGGTGGGTGTCCAAAGGCGCTGCTGCTTCAAGTACACAGCTGCCCTTTCCCAGGGAGATCTCCGCTGCACATGGCAATGCAGAAGTCTGCTTGCCCCACAGAGCATGACTGCCTGGACTTGCTCTGGGGTACACCAGAGGTTCAGGATCTCTACTCACCTTTTTTCTCTAAGGAATTCCCTACCGACATCTCTGTGGAAAAGTGCATCACCTAGCGATATGCAAGTGAGAGCTCGTTAGACTGGCTGAGGTACTAAAAGCCATGCAGCACTGTGCTCCATCCTGGTAAGTTAATCATGCTGAAAGGCAGAAAGCCTTGGCCCACAGAGTGCTGCCGTGTGTTTCTGCCACTTCCAGCACCTGAGTTAGCCCAAGGGCCTACTCAGGAGTGTGTTCTGCCTTATTAAATGTACTCTTAATTCCATGGGGTCCCATGGAAATGTTTTTCATGGGAAAGCAGGGTGTTAAGAGGGGGAGACTGGGAGGGATACTGTAGCAGCTTCATTACCACTTATGATCTCACCAGAGAGCATCTTGTTTAAAGTTGCAGCTACTTACCTGAGGCCCTAGACACCAAATGTAGGAAGGTGGCTTGTCACAGCTGTGGAGTGGGGCCCTAGCACCACACACCCACAGTCCACGCTGAGTGTGCCATGCCCTGCAATCCCGGTGCAGCCAGGAGGAGCTTCTACCGTGCAAGGACTGTGGTGATGCAAGAGCTGCTGGTTAACGGTGGCAGAGCAAGGCCTGCTGGTGACATCTTCAAGACCTGGACAGGTTGGAAGCAGCTGTTTTGTGCTCTCCATGTCTGAGACTTCTCACAGGTGTAAAGCACTCTGGCAGGTTTTTTATTCAGGCAGAAGCTGAGCTTTTCCTTGACTCCTTCCTCTGGAGCCCAGGCTGCTCGCTCCCTTTGTAGCCACCAGATTTTCTGATGAGCACGGCCTTCATTAGCTTCTCAGAAAATAGCAGTTTTAAATGGTAATCCCAAACGCTTGACGTCAGTTTGTATTTATGCTCTAGTCAATTTTGGAGCTAAAGACTCTTAAGTATCTGGTAATGCTGTTTGTTTGTACCGTTGTGTGGCATGCTGTCCTGCTTTGATGCTATAATGAAGAAGAAGGAGAAGGAAATACAAGCAGTTTGCTCATTAATAAAAAGAAGTAAACATATGCAGTTGAGACTATCGATATTTATTATGAGTTGAGATATGCACAGTGTTTGTAGATTTCTGGCCTTTCAAACCGAGGATACTTTCCAGTGCAGAATTTGCCACTGACCCCCTTTGCAACATACCTATGCTGCTGCTTTGGTATGGCTCCTTGCCTAGTATTTGGGGGAATAAGAGTAACAGCATTTACCTTTATCAATTTTCACTGAAAGATCTCTAAGTGCTTTTCACAAACGAGTGAAATAAATTCCCACTTCAGGCCTTGAAGTAGGTCAGGATGAGCCCAAAATACAACTGTCAGGAAGCTGATGGAAATGTCCTGACAGGTCCAAGGTGGTCTAGTTGGACCTGGAAATGAAGTTTAAAATTTTGCCTGCCCACCATTTTTCCAGGTGTGAGGAAAAATGTTAAATTCCCAACTGTGCATGACAGCCCCTGGAGCAGTGGGCTACCCACAGGCCATGGGCTTGTGACTGAAACAAGTCCCTCAGCTCTTCACTGGAGATGTCAGCAGCCACCTGCATGCAGGCTGCCCATATGCAAAGCTGGCACGTGAAGGGGCCATCAGAGCTGACATGTAGCATAGGTCTGTTGTTCAAAATAGGACTGATTTCCCTCTCTGTGCTACATAATCTCATCATCATCAGAGTACTTTTGGGTAAATATTGCTAGGGGCAACAAGCCATGTTAGAGGCTAAACTGAGGTGACCATCTGCTCTATCAGCTCATGTTGTTGCAGTTACCGCAGAGCTTATCTACATCGCCCCTTCTGTTGTCAGATCCCTCATCTGATGCCACATCTCTTCCTATTGCTCTTGCTTCTCCATCAGGTCTTTTGGCAATCTGTCCCTTTCTGTGCCTTAAATCCACTGCAAGTCCATGTTGTGATCACAGCTACTCTAAGCTTCCTTTGTGGATCCCTCCTTTGGCAATTTAACACAAATGGGCTGATTATTGATGAGCCGTGGCATCCATTAAAGCCCACAGCAGCTGCAGTTCTCAGTGCTTTGGAAGCTCAATGCAGAAAGCATTTTACACACTTGCCTTCAGGCACAAGGACAGCAGTAAGTTTGCAATTAATTTCCAGTGCCTTTGCTATAACATCCACACAATGGTACATAATAGGCTTTCAGGGCTAAATTCAGCTAAAAGGTTCTCCTGGCAATCTCTGAGTTTCAATGTGTGCAGAATAATTCATAATTTCAGCTGATCCTTCTTATAAATGCACACGGAGTGTATGTGTGTGTTTACATGCGCAAACATGGCCGATGGCCTCAGCACTGTACCACTCGCTGACTGCATTGTGAATTTTACAGGCAGAGAAGAGCCGTAACCTGCTTAGCTGCAAACACTGCCGCAGATCGTCTGCATGTGTCCACACTGCCGCTTTCCTGAACACCTGAGATCCAGAGAAGAGCCAAGGTGAAGCTCCACATGCCCATGAAGCAGGCCAAGAGCCGAGACAGCAGCTCTTGACCTCACAAGCGGTGTGCCTGCAGGTTTTATGTAAGTTACACAAGTTGCCCCCAGGCCGTGTCCACCACCACGGCTGCCTGTGAGCTCAGGGTTGCCCCCACAGCAGGCCCGAGGCCTGGCCTTGGCTGCTGCCATCTCGGTCCGTTAAAGCCCACGTCTCTGATTTATCTTCCACTGCTTCTGTCCTCTCCTTCCTCTCCACCTCACTAGCTGCCTCCTGGCAAGGACTTGTTGAATTTTAGGGTTTTGGTGTTAGTTTGGACCTGGTGACTTAATCGGTGCCACATAACAACTTTTCTTCCTGGCCAAGTGACCAGCAACGCAGGCTGTCCCTGGCCACAGGAGACTTGTGCTCCCCTTCTGCTTCTCGTGTTCCCTGCCAGCCACTCTCCTCCTTTCTCCCTGGCAGACACACAGCAAGCAGGGAAGGCAGGGACATCGACCTCCTCTGCTGCTTCTGTTCACACCCAAAGGAGAAAAACTTCACACACATTGTTCTTGCTGTATCAACCCCACCTCCCGGTGCTGAGTGGTGCTCCTCATTCCCCTGCATTAACTTCAAGCATTCTGTAATCATCAGACCAGCTCTTCCTTATATGCCTGGCCTGTATGTCCCACCAGCTCAGCCCCTTCCCCTGAGTGTCCCTGCTGTGCTGGTGCTGATGTCCCGGATGCCTGTTTCCCATTACTCATCCTGTGCACAGGAGGTTTTCCTTCAGCTGGCCTGCCAGAACATACCCTTCTCTCCATTCCAGTCTGTCTTGCCAGCCCTACAAAACCCAGCAAATTAGATCATCTGCATATCTATTTCACATATTTATGCGTGAGATACTAATCCCCACATAGTGAAAGGGTCATGTGTACAAAAGGGGAAATGAGGACAGCAGCATTAAAGGGAGAAGTAGGGTGAAGGTGGGTAATGGCAAGGGCAGGGCAGATGTCAAGGATGGGAGTTTACAGTGTTGGGAAAAAATATTAGAAAACCAAAACAACAGCAAAGCAAATTATAACTAAGAAGTCACATCAATGCTCTTTCCTTGCTAGTTCTGCATTCAAGCTCCTGCTCCCTGTACCTCTGCCTTCAGAGCAGAGACCAAGTCCTCCAACAGGCTCAAGAAATCTATAAAGAAATAAAAAAGCACACTTTTCTGTGTGTCTTTTGCGATAACAGACACCTCTCATTCCCTTTCACCGTCATGGCAAAGCTGCTGTGCCCTGCAGACCTGTGTCTCCTCGAGGAGCCCTGGTCAAGCGCCCAGCCCGACCCCTGGCCCTGTGCAGCTGGGAGAGCTGCCTCGGGGCTGCCCCGTGCAGCTCCACACGCTGTGGCTCCCAGCGGGTGCAGGACTCGCCTTCCAGGCTGCTACAGGGACCCCCACAAAAGTCAGCTCCGTTTCCCATCTGTTACTTCCCTGGGGCACAAAAGCAGGTGAAATGTCTGTTGGATGCCACAGGAACTGCTCAGGCTGCAGTGATGGTAATGTAACGCTTAGAGCAGCAGAAAGATCTCCTATCAGGTGAGAGAGGTTGTTTTCTTTTTGTTTGTTTTTGTTTTTTCCCCTTTAAGGGATTCTGCAGCCAGCCAGTGACCTGGGGATGTGACAGTTGGGTCTCAGTCATGTTTTCACACGACGCAGACAGCAGATGCTTCAGAAGATTATATTTCTTCATGTACATTGGGTCTCCGGGGAGATTATATGTTCAGGGTCAAGGGCTTTCGGGGACTGGCTCTGCAGCCCCAGAGGAGGATTTTTCTGTTTCCAGCAAAAGATATCTGTAAAGCACAGGGCATCCTGCCAAGCCCTCTGTATGGAGTCAGCAAGAAATGCTGCTCCCGAGAGAGATTTTTACCTACAGCTCTGTCAGGGATAGCTTTTATTATAATCATAGCAGTTGATCAAATATCCCACAGCACCACAACACCTTACAGCCTGTGTATCAGGGCTGATCCTGACCTGGGGAGCAGCACTTATTGGACTGCAAAGAGGTTATTCATGTGGGGAAAAATCGGCTCCCTCTGTAAAGGCAGGCAGCAATGGGCACTTTATAGTGATGCTGTGTTTTTGAAATGCAGATATCTTGGCCAGTTCAATCACCAGCTGGCCAGCACAGATTTTGCAAGGGAAAGAATTATGTCCAAAGATGCAACAAAAGCCCTCCTGGGGTCTTCCCTGTGCACACTGACAAGCCAGAGATGATCTATGCTTTTAAGAGGTTTCATAAAGAGCCTGCCTCCTCCTCCTCCCAGTCCTTCATGACAGTTAATTGATCTGCTTGAGATATTGAAGGATTATGACTTAGCCAGCCCTCCTAGAATAGGAATTTCAGATTCCACATGTCGTAGGAACACAGGGCACCAGTCGCTCTGAAAGCCAGTTCTGGGAATATCCACAGCTACCAGTAAAATCCCAGTACAGCGACGGGCACTGCAGGGTGCCCTTCATCCTGCAGCAGCTGCCACGTGCTATAGCTCCGTCTTGCTGGGAAGTCACTTTAGCCGTGAGGAAGGATGGGCCGGGCTGCCTGCCACGATGTGCTTCTCTGGCACCCAGCCCTCCCCATACTAGGCAGCAGTGGCATGGTGTTACCCAGCCTCAGGGGGCCAGGACATCCCTGTGACATCTTCTTCAGGAACAAGGGGTCTGCAGTAACTCATTGAGCTGCCCCAGTGAGAAAACTGAACAGAAGCACCACGTTTGGCCATGGCGTTTGGATCCAGATCTAACCTTTGTCAGGCTTGGGACTGAGTGAGTTTCTGAAGGGTATGCCCAGGACAGAGTTCTTCAGAAGCAATGTGACTAATTTTCATGTTACGTATGTCCTCCTGCCTTCGTTTATATGAACAAAGTCTTGCTCTTGTTCCACTCCCTCAATACCACAGCATTGTGGCTAACGGGGTGGCAGCAGTTTCCTTTTTCTTGCTGTTCTGAACAGGCAGAAGGGGGATCAGTGGTGCTGATAAGCAAGTGAAGCTTGTAATGGCGAAGAGAGGGAAGGAATTCATGCCTATCCCAAGCTATTTTTTTCCGTTTATTTTAATATATGTAATTTTGATGTTATCTGTTGACTTAGATTTTTAACAGATTGCAGGAAAAGAGCCTATGTGCTACTCTAGGCATTTTTGGCAGATCCATAGGAAAGCTATCCAGTTAAGATCAGCAGTTAACCCACAGCAAAGCCTAATCTCCAGCCAAAAGCTTAATCCAACAGAAACCAAACATCTGCCCTCCTCGGGCATCACGGGATGGAGACAGAGGCCTTGGCTTCTGGGGTGGCTCCAGGATTGTTCCTCTTCTGCCTCCTGCCTGGCTGCAGAGCAGGGCACGTGTGCTCGCTCCGTGGGTTAGGTAAGAGACGGTGATGTGGGGTGGCAGATGCCAAGCTCTCAGAAACACAGCTACGAAACCTCAGAATGAACCATACATAGATCGAGCACAATAACACTACCCCTCCCTTGCCCTGTAAAACCTTCTGCTATTTCTGGCCTTTCTCTCCAAGAGTCTCTTTTCATACACAGCAGATTGAGTCCATTATCTCTGAAAAAAAAAAAAAAGAGTCTGCACACTGCTTTTCTTTGCTGTATCTCATTCCTGACCTCTGCTGCTTTTTCTTACTATTCTAGTCCTGCCTTATAATAGGAAATGGAAAGCCCAAAGATTTTTCTTCACATCTGACATTCATTCATCCTCCTCGTTTCTTTTTTTTCCCTGTTAGATTAACAGCAGGGAGAAAGAAACAGTAAAAACACCATGGTCCATATTTTTTATACCCAAAAGCCTGATTCTGTTCTTAGTCTTACTTTCTCCTTGTGTACCTATATTCACTTCACTGACCTTATTCTGGATCCTTACCAACTTAAAAGGGAAGTAAAGTGATATATTTAAAGAGTATTTATTTTAAACACTATATTATGAATTAAGACAAACAAGTCTCACGCTCATCTGCCCATTTCCCAGCCCTGAAGACTTGTGTACATTCCTGAGCTTATCATTCAAGCCCAGATATTTGAAAAGTGACCACAGATTTAGAATGACTCAAGTTTTACCAGTCTGGGACATTTCTGCCCTGTTTTTGAGATGGCTCCAGTTGAAAGCATGACAGCTGTGCACCCTTGGGGCTGAAAGTATTTCAAGTCGGAAGCCTTAAAATCAAGCCAGCTCAAATCGGAGGCTTTTAAAAATCATTTGGCCTTGGTATCTGAGTCGGCAAGTCCCTGCTGTGAGGTGATGGATGCAGGCAGCTCCTGGTGCAAGCTGAATGAAGGCCATTAGAATTAAACCTTTGGTGCCATACGGCTGCTGAATCACACAGCCCAGGATACACCTGTCCCTGCTGATGCCATGAGAGTGCAGCTCTAATGAATGCAGGATGGCTCCATCTTCTGTCATCTCAGAGGCACCTTTCCTTATGGTGCACTGTATGTTGCAAGGTCAGGAGTATTCTCATTTCATGATTTTTCCCTCTTGGGTGTGAAAACTCCTAAGGTTTGGGAAAAATATGCCCTGAAAGGCTGGAATAGATTGGACTGACTGAGATGCTTCCTGCAGATTTATAAATCTATATTCTAAAGACCATCTAAAACAATAGTTGAATTATCTGACAATTAATAGGACCCTGGTTCAGCAAAACTGCTAATCTTGCCTTCAGCTTCTTGCTGTACAAATGTCCTATTTTACTCCAATTAAGTATATGCTCAATGTGCTGCATTGTTCATTTAACATAATATGCTGCAGCGATTTAAAAAATAGCTGTGACACTAAAATCAATCTGCCGTGGGTAGTCAATGTAGGGTGAGGATAATGTGATCATAGCTATGGCATCATGCCCAAGCAGTGAGCAGCAGACCTGCTTGCCTGGATGCTCTCTATAGTAATTGAGTTTGTGGTTAGTGGAGTCCTGGGGTGATGCTCGAATATATTATTGCTGTGTGCTCATCCCAGAAAAACGGATAAGAACTGCCATGCTTCAAGGTAAAAAATAATCACCACAGAATTAATTGAATGTCTTCTTTCCTCTGTGGGTAAATTCTT